AAGAATACTATCCTTGCCGGCAGGACTTGCAAGTTGATTATGGTTTGTTGCATTTCTGAACCTGCGTTGCTGCATGCAAGCTGAAAGCGACAGTGCCATCATTGTCCTCCCACCACCTGGCAACGAGTGAGGCCGGTCCTGAGCAAATGGCTAATGTGAGTGAGCACGTCACAGTGTCACATTGGACTTCGCTTTCCCGGCTCAAAGTCTCGGAGTCTGGTCGGACTCACAGGGGCAGATATCATGGCAGGTGCAACGCCATACCGCGTAACTGCAGGCTATGACAGGCTCACACTGTGGCAAATCAAGGCACGCGCTGTCCGGCTGGATCGAGGTTAGCAGCAGCTGCCTGCTTGCTTTCTTTCAGACATCGGGCGAAACAACAAACAGCGATGTCGACAACATTCGACTTTTTGGAGCTGGCAGCCCGTTGCAAACGGCACAGCTGAACAAACAACTGAATGTGGTGGCCTAATTAAGCTTCCAGCGGCAAGTCCGACAAATGATAGATATCCTTTCGCAGACAATGTGGATCTGAGTGGATGGAAGCATTCCGAAACGCAGCAGGACTTTTGTCGACTCTCCGTGTCCTCGCACCATGCAGGGGCGCGACCTGACTCTCGCTAGACTAGACTTGAGATCGGGGCTACGAAAGCTAAACAATGGTTTCTCATCGTGCGCAAGGGCAAAGCCCGCGGTCCACAAAGCAGGCATTGGTGTGGTGGCACCTTTGGTGGGCATTTGGTGGCCATATGGGGGGTGGGGGTGTGGGGAGGGCCGCCCCCCTCGCCCCTCTCCCCGCCGCCGCCATAATTTCAATTAACGCTTGAATTCTGGGGAGAGCAACATTAAGGCAGCCTTTTCGGTGGCCCCCTCTCCCCTCCCTTGCTGCGTGTGACCCACCAAGAGAGCTTGTACACCACAAAGCATGCCAAGCTCTAAGGAGCTGCCACCTTTCGTGATCGGACAGCCGCAATCAGCTAAGCAATCACACTTGAAAATCATGTTGATGGCCACCTGTAATTCCACTTATGGCACGCATGGCGCTGCGATGAGGTGCACGGAGAAAGCTTGTGATGCCACTTGAAACTCACATGCCGAGCTCGTGGCGCCCAGGTGACGAGGCCACCAGGCTGCTCAGCCCATTGAGCTTCCTCATCTCCGCCTTTTCGATGCACTCATTTTCAAAAAAACACCGATTATTGGGCCTGGGTTTCTAGTTTGGTATCTTCTGGGGCATCACCAGATCTGACCAGCCTCATCCAAGGCAAATTCCAGCGCGGCCGCATGTTCCAAGAAGTGGCTCCTCAAACTGTACGAAAAGCGTCACGATATGTGAATATGTAATGGTTGTTGGCTTTCCAGGTTCAAGGTATTGAGGTGAAAGAAGCTGCGAGCACCATCGGAACCATTCTCAAGGTCCTGTGGGAGGCGTTCACAAGGACGATCCCACCGAGCTGCATGAACCATCTATCAATGACCTGCAGCTGGTAAAGATTTACAAAGCGCTGTCATCCTGAAGCCGATCGTCTGCCGGACCTGTGCAGAACTTCGGTTCACTCGCATGGCAACCTTGGCGCATGATATCACAGAGCAAGGCCAATTCTGCGCATGAAGGTCGGATTCGTCGTCAAGGCGTCCCGAGACAGCGACGGCATTGATATGAGGATCTTGTAAAGGCTGCAAATAGCCACATCCCCCTGCCTTTGCTTTGATTCAGAACCGCCAGCTGCTGAGAATCAATGAGGACTCCCTCCGCCTGGGTCAGTCCGACGCCCATCGTGACCTGGCCGAGGGCTGGTGCTGCAATGTGCTACCAGTACGAGTACAATGTGCTGCACGACTGTGCACCTGGTTGCTGAACGTGCTTCGTGCTCAACGGCACTGTGCTGGGAAGCAAGCAAAGCTGGAAACACCTTTCCAGCTTAGGGGCATGGGCTTTAGTGCACTGAGTTTCAAGCGGGAGGATTCTTTAGGTGTGTGGTGTGCGCGTTGTGCGTGTGCATATGCGTGGGCACACACTTGAACAGGCATTAAGCTGACAAGAAAATCAGAGACAGCAGACTGGAAAATCACGTGAAGCCGGTACGTAGGGATGGCATTCCACAAGCCCCATATCACGCGCCAGGATGAACTAGGTGACTTGATTGCCCGCCCCATAGAAGTCCACAACGTCCTCATCTGCAACTCACACAGAAACATCGACCATCTCGAAAATCGATCCAACATCTATTTCAACGCCGGAACATCCCACACACACGCACACACACGCACACACGGAAATCGACAGATATATCTGGGATGTTCTTCTTGTCAAAAGGGGACACAAGTGTAAAGTGAGTCAGGGCTGCGATCCCAGCCGCAAGCAGCTCCTCCATCTGAGAGCTTTGCCGTCGCGCCTGGCTGTGAATTTACAATCTCTATCATTCTCTAGTTTGCTTCTGTTTCTCATTGTTTCTGTTCTTGGGGGCTGTTACCAGACAGAGTCATTTGCAAACAGCAGCCTCCCCCCTGCCCTGCCTCGTCGGGGCCACCAGGCTCGTAGACCGTGAATTTTGTCTGCACAAACCTTTCTTGAGCTGACCGGTGTTGCTGCGCTTGGCAGGCCGTGCGGGAATCGCCACACAAGCAACCCAGTGCTGCTAAGCGCGACGCTCAGGACGCCTTTCTTGCTGAAGGAGACCCTTGAATCGCTCGGGAGGCATCTCACTTACCTGGCAATTTGCAATATGCTGCGCGCACCAGGTTTCCTTTCTTTCAAGGCCCAGGGCTGAAGCCCTGTGCTCTGGCCTTCTTCTACTACCCAGCAAGACGAGTCCGCAGCCCCCCTCCCTTTCTCTCTCCTTCTCTCTCCTTCTTTTTGTCTCTCTTTCTTCTTCCCAACTTCCCGCGGCTGTGAGGGGTCTCCTTTCCCCCTCGCCGACACCGCGGACACGAGACTATGGGCGGTCCAAAGAAGTTGGTCGATTCTCCGTCTTGGTGTGACGCTGGAACTCGCGGCACCAGCTCCCCCAAAATTCCCAAACAATCTAGCACAAACTAACAGGACCAATGATGCTTCAGGTTACCAGCGGCCACTCTTTGCACTAGCCCGTCACGGCACTCGGGGGCTTTAAGACGTCTGAACATCGGCGTTCTCCCAGTTGGCTCCTTCGCCCCCGCATTTTTGAGTGTTGAGCGTAGCCCTCCACTCAGGGCATTTCTTCCCCCCCCCCCCCCCGATACGAACTTGCTGGCTGACTACAGTTAGCGACTGGGGCCCCGCCCTCATGGCGTTGAAAGTCTGAAAATGCCTCCGTGCCCCTTGTTTATTCCCTAACGCGTTTCGAGTTTTGACAACTGCAATCTTGCTGATCGCGCAGAGGGCCAAAGCAACTCGCGCCGGAGTGGCGCCAATGGCTCTCACAACACCTCGCGTGGACTCCTGCAGACCCGGGCAAATCTCAACAAACAGTCTGGCCGAACTTCAGTAGCCGAACAGCTATAACTGTCACACGCCGACCTCGAATTTCTGCCAGGCTGCAACATCCTCATCAACAGTCTCCTCCTGCCGACACGTCATGGTGCACAATGTGCACAACCCAGAACTCCAGAGCTTTTCCATCTCCAATGCAGGCTCCGACTTGCCCTCTCCTGGAGCAGCAGGGTGGCAGCATCTAAGTGCGACAGGACCTGAGACCGAGCGCAGAGTTCCTGGGTTGGGAAGTCCATCAAATCCAAAGCTGCCACATCTGAGTGTCACGCAGTAGACATGTTCCCGCTACCTTCAACTGAAATCGCTGGCATGAGGAGCAGCGCGTGCCCTACACGAACATGTGTCTGCACGTGCTTGAAGCCTCTGACATCAGCACTGCGAATCCTTCCGATGATTAATACCTGCCAGCAGCTGGCAGCTACCGGTACAAGTAGCATGTATGGCATCGCAGGTGTGAATGATGCAATGCCTGCCGGCCACAGTGGCCATTGAAAGCAGAAAACACTTGAACCAGTCTCGTGCCTCATGCCGGTCAAGCCCTCGGTCATCAAGTAGACGTACTACGTCTTGCACTAAGGGCAAGGTCGCCTGAGTTTTCAAGGCCCCAAGCAGTGTACTATACTTGTAGTACTGTATCTGAGTTACCGTTGTACTGCAAGCACCTCGTTCAAGAGGAGCATCCTTATCCCACTCTCCAGCGCCAACGCTGCCTCCGACTACGAAAGTGAGAATCGTGACCTGTGATAACTACTGTGACTATTGTCACGACATGTAAGGATTGTGAACTGCGACCGTAAACGTGGGGCCACGCCCTCCCAGCCTGGCGTTTGTCGACCAGAACCGCTCCCATTGGCGACAACTGTCAGAAGTGCGACGCAGGTAATGTCCGCAAGACTCCGAACATGTCTGAGTGGATCCAGAGACCAGGTGTCAATCGAGATTCAAGCCAAAGCCTGCAGATCGCCAACAGCGATGGTGCTCTGCGGTGTCACCTTGTGTCGTTAAGAAGTGGCATTCTATGCGTTCCAGGATTTCTCACCAAAGAATAGCAAGGCCAGCCGTGTCAGTCACCCGCACCTGCACAGAGCGTCCGAGTCCTGGAAAGCGGAACCTGAGGCGGTGGACATGCACGAGTGCGCGCAAGCTCCGCAAAGGCCCTGCGGAACAGTGCTGAGCTGCAAGCCCATGATGCCCATGCTTCCTCTCCTCTAGCTTGCCAGGGTCGGACTTCTTGGCCTGCCACAGTTGGCAATGAGCCCCGACAAGCCGAACTCTGGCACACTACGGCGCACATGAGTCAGAAAGGAGAACTTTTTTCGTCCGCGACACCAAATTCCACTCACTGCTTCAAGGCGTGCTGCAACGCCGGCCCTTTGCCAGATCCCGGTCCTGACAGCGCTTGACGCAACCAATGTAGGCTCCAGTGTAGGATGCGGGCACATGCAATCATGCAGTAGCAACAGCGCCCTCTAGACGAACGTGCGGGCCATTTCGTGCACTATGATGCTACGCCAATGTATTCCACCTATGCCTGTGGAAATAGCGTCTGGCTGTCGGAGCTCCTGTGGCTTCATCGTGAGCGATGATGCTGGAACTCGATCGTGGCAAATGCAAGCCCCTAGCCGCCGGCAGTAGCTCGAGCGGCAAGCAGCCTCAACAGCCCCAAGAGCCCCAAGGTTTCCAAAAACTTCTATCTCTGAATGTGTGAGGCTCCCTGCAGGCCTTCATCGCAGGTTTCGCTCCAGCTGCTCCAGTTGCTCCGGTTGCTTGCTTCCCCTCCTCTTGAATCCGAACACATCCGAAAGCGTCGGATAGCTTTCACAAACACGTGAGTTCATGCCATGGCCAATTCCAAAGGAGAATGCATCACTTCTTGCTTTCACTTCAACGGGCACATACGGGCACAGTCAAACCATGGCTCTGTGTTGACTGAGCTTTTGTCACTACTTAAGTCGCAGCCACCCCGACCCATCTTTCCGTGTCCTTAGGAGGAGCAGCTTTGCCGGCGATGACCTGGGCTCATCTTGAATACCGCTCGTGTCTGTCTGAACCGTCGCAGGAGGTAAGAGCGGTGACTCAGGGAGGCACACATGGCAACAGCGGCGAGTTCTCGACTAATGCCTGCTCGTAGCTTATGGACTCCTGGCGGACGGAACCAGAAACTTTTCCTCTCTGGATCTTTGCCGATGCTGCCTGCTACGAGATGCTAAGCAACGAGTGGTCCCCTCCCCCCATCCCCCCCCCCCCTCTCTAGCCATGTCTCCAGCGAGCTCCAGTCCAGCTGTGCACCTGCATGGAGGAAACAGGATTGTCCATCATATTGCATCACATGCATCCACGGCCTCCCACCTTGCGAGTCAGTGAGGTACTTTTGAATTGACTCGATATCTGGCCGTGCTTGTGGCTCGTGTCTGATCATTCGGGGAAGGATCTCTTCCAGCTCCTCGGCTTGTTGAAACGACACGGGGGTCGCATGAAGGACGCGTGAGACGGCCAGTGACGGGCCGGAAATGCTGCCGTGCAGCTGGCCAAGCACATTTCGCTTCGCGGAGTTCCTGCGACACTTCGCTTGGCTCACACGAGGACAGATTTCTTTGCGGCGTCCTTGACGACTTGCAGAGTCCGGCCAAGAGAGTACACGTCAGCCTTCAAGCCGTTGTAGGCACCTGCTTTGCAGGCTCCGTACAAAAGCTGTGCAAGGCCGCTCATGCGGGCCCGACGCAGCCTCCGCCTTCAACTTCTGGAGCACGGAAGTCAATGGTTCCGCATTTCCCAACAAGTTGCTGGTCAGCCTCTCTCTCGTTCTCTCCCTCTCCCTCTCTCCCGCTGCTCTTGCCGTGCTGTCATATGCTGCCATGCAAGCTTGTGGGAGCACCTGCTGGAGCTGACATGCTGTCACGAAATCACAAAGACGCACTTCTCCTCAGGGAACCAGCGTGCATCCCACATCAGTGGAATGCAAAAGCTGCTCTGTGGCTCCAGTGTCCTGCCCCTGAGAGCAGCACGTTGTCGGGCTTGATATCGAGATGGCAAATCAGCCTTGTGTGCCTGGTCTCCAAGTCTCATACCCCTGCGCACCATGCTCCAACAAAGTGGCGGCATGGCGGACGTCCAATGCGAGTCTAGTTTTCATGCGGCAGCACTGCCCTTCAGAGGGTGAATTGTGGCCGATAGGTTGAGAAGCTCGGCCAAAGTAGGAAAGGCTCGTCGGACGTTTGTGCTTTTCTTATCTTTTCTTGCAGGGACACGTGAACAGAGGGAAGTTTTCAAATTGATGTGATCCAGCAAGCTTGTTCTTTGGAGTCTTTAAGTGCTGCAAGCGCTTGCTGGTTTTTACTGGGTCTTTCGTTTCGAGATAGCTTTAATCATCTTACCGGTCTGACATGGGGCTTCGTCCACCGACAGTGCACATGCGACAAGTCATACTGGAAACTCTGCCACATTCCCTCAATATTCTCAGCAACGTCAGCACACAAAACGGCTTAATCAGGCCAAGTGTCAAGTGACCGACCGCCTAGCGGGTATTCTCAACCCCACTACTACATGCAAGACGAACACCCTGGGATCTCACAGGTCTGGCCATGCTATGCCATGCTTTGTGCCACTTGCTCGAAAGGCCTCCAGCAGTTGCTTTGAGACGGTCGTGGCGGTGTTCGGATGCCTTCTCAGCCAGTCGGAAACTCGCCCACCAGCACAAAGCTCCATCACTGTCCAGAACTCGCGTTCAGAGTCGTATATCCCTTGGCTGCGGAGAAGGGTTACTGAGCACCACTGCTCTGTTCAGTTCTGTTAACAAGGAAGGCATCGGATGCCGAGCTGCCATGCAGACTGACGATGTAGGGAGACTTGCCCAGCAAGTGCAGCATCTGCGGCACAAATGCGCTGCATGGCACCACGTTGGCCACGATGCGACGTGCTGCCGAAGAACCGAATCAGCAAAGATACTCGCGCTGCCTTGACTTCGTTGAGATAGTCACCAGAACGATGCACATCACAGCCCTTGTGAATTCTCTTTCCAGCAACAGTGATGCCAGTGCGCCTGCAAGGCTTGACATCTCCATTGTGATGCATGCTGCATGAGGCTGCACGGCCACACACACACACACCCACGCACGCACGCATGCACGCGTGCACCTCCTCGACAAAAGCAAACATAGACACATACACGCACATAGTTACACACACAGACAGTTGGCTGAGTTCACACATACATACACACACAAACATACAAACATAGATACATACATAAGTCATACATACATACGTACGTACATACATACATACACAGACACGGACACGGACACACTCACAGCGATGCAGACACACACACACAGAGACAGACAAACACTTTCTTACTTTACTTTACTTTACTTTACTTACTTTACCTACTTACTACTTACCTACTTACTGACTTACTTACACTTGCTGCAAACTGGCCTGTGCCGTAAGCGGTACACTGCTGACATTGGGGTTTCCTTGGTGTCGAGACAATGTCACGAGGGTCCGACACTCCATGTCCACCCAGCTTTTGATGTACATAGACTTTGCAGATCAAGCAGCATCTAAGAGATCCAACTTCTCAAACTCAGACAAGTCCAGCCTTGCCAGAAGCCCTATCAACATATTGTGACTGTTGACAGGCACACGTTCAGGTCCAAACCTCCTCGTGCCGGGAAGCCTTGCTGCCGACTCCTGCAAGCCATGGGTAATACGGTCATGTCTCTAGAGTAAAAACATGGCCCCGCTTTGGGTCGCGATCACTGCGGCCTTTAGAGTCTAGAGTAACTGGCAGTATCGCATTCATGAGTAAGGTCCGCTCTCGTACCAGTAGGAACCCATGGCGGTGTCCTTGTCCCCAGCCTGACTGGCAGTTGGAGGCGGCGCCCTCTGCCGAGCAACTCCCGCACCTGCGCACCTCAAGGAAGACCGTCAGATTTCATCGGGTAACTTAGGCAATGAGGCAACATTGTAAAGACAAAAGGGCTTTCTGCGTTTTAGTCCCATGACAGAATTTCAACTGGGGGGCGGAGACGACGCCGAACCCACGGGGCGCTGTGGCTCTGCCAAGTGAGGCGAGGCGCCTGTCAGGTTGCAAGCAGGGGCAGAATGGGCAGAAGACAACCTCATAGCAGTATCTGCTTGTTCAACAGAAAAGCAGCCTGGAGTGCTGGCCACTCTGCTGGGACTAGCCTGTGGCAGAAAGGGAAAATGGGTTTGTATCTTAATGGGGAGGCGCGCGACACGTGTTGGGGTCGGGGTATGTTTCGCGGGCATGTTTCGGGGTATGTTTCGGGGTATGTTTCGGGGGCATGTTTCGGGTATGTTTCGCGGCATCGTAAGCTACTTTACCTGCAGTTTCGGGGGGGTATGTTACGGGGTATGTTTCGGGGGTATGTTTCGGGGTATGTTTCGCGGGTGTGCAACCCGTGTGCCCTTCTTAAACCTGAGCCCCCCAAAAAAACACAAACCCAAATGAATCTCTTTCAAGCTGTTGCAACACGTCTCCGACATGAAGTCTTCCCGGCTTCTTGCCCAACTTCCCGAACTATGGGCTTGGCCCAATACCCCCCTTGTCGCGGGGGGGCAGCCCCCACCTTGTTACAAGCCCTTGTCGCGCCAGCTATGTTCAAACTTTTGTCGCGTGGCATTCTAAAGAACGCCCCTTGTCGCAAGCCTTGTCGCGCAACGCTTCTCGCAAGAACCGGATTTTTGTTGCAAACCCTTGTCGGCCGTGCCCGCCCGGGGGCCTGTTACAAGCCTAGCGTTTTGGGCCGTTTCCGGATAACTGCGACTGCAATGCCATCAATGCAGTCTGCATTTCAAGGAGCCTTGTTCTGCACGCCATCTGCTTTCGATCGAGCCGGAGTCTGCTCTGGAGCTTCCTGCGAGTAGCAGGGAAAGGATCTCCCTTGACCTGCAATATCTTGAAATGATGGCTTCGGATGCACAGGATTTCGGGGACAAAACCCATACAGGCGCAAGGGCCGCTTTGTGCTGTGCATAGCTCGATTGTGCCAGCATGGAGCAAGAACCTTTCTCGAGCAAAGCCGGAAACTTTCAAATTTAACTTTTGTTACATTCAGGCGTCAGAAATGCCAAACCCGTTGGCCATGTCCTGAACTATCTGGTAGCTTCGCTGACTTGCACCACATCCCATGGGCAGGTCGTTCGTCCAATTCTTGCTTATTGATGACTCCTTGTGTGGCAGTCGATGCTACGACCCGTCCGAAACCAAGCGCTGCATCTGCAATGCCATGAAGATTCTCGTGCATGCTCAGTCCCTGAAAACTAAAGCGTATTTTGCCTGTGGGATAACCTAACAACACCTAGGGTGAAACAATCTTTCGAGCCATTGGGGTTCCATCGGTGCTCCATCTCGTTTAAATGCAGACATGCACTGACTTCAGGAAGGAGCCTGTAGCGGTATCTCCGTCAACGCACTCCTTAGGCAGAAGAAGTAGCCCCTCCAAGCTGAAGCAAGCAGTCGTGCGAGTGACTTCCGACTTGTCAACCCTTTCCGAGCTTGACACACAACCTCCCTTGATGCAGCGGCAGCCTGAAGAACAAATTGAGTCGCGTGCATGATCGTGATGAACGACAGGGTGCACCTGCCGCCAGTTCGCATACCTCGGATGATCGACTTTGTAAAACCGGCGTTTAACAAAAACACCTGACCATCGGGGTCGTGGCCAGAGACCAGGGTCGTCGCCGAGGCGGTCGATGAGAGCATGGATGTGGCCAAGGCGACTGCGAGCGACTCATGCGGTGGCATCATGTCATGTGCCTTCTCTCATGAAGTCCATGGTGCGTGGACTTCGGGCTTACATTGAGCATCGCTATCATCACAGAATCACAAATCAAGAACATTAAGAATGTCATGCTGCCTCTGAATGGAGTCGTCGAGCAAGGCCAATGCCTCCCAAGCACTGCAACTCAAAGCAGAAGAGGAGCCAGGGACATCAACCGGTAGATGCTGGTAGCTTGAACTTGCAGCTTTCGTTCTCTGTGTGGGGATGCTGGTGAGTGGTCTCTCTTCCATCTGCTGCAAGTTGCAAATGCCACTGTGCACCTGTGGCTTGCCCCCCCCCCCCCCCGATGAAAAACTTGATTGTGCTTGCCGCCCGTGTACGCATAGCATGTCTCCCATGGTTCGACTTGCTGCATATGCTGCGCTACTCGTTAGTTTGTTGCCTCCGAGTCTGCAAAAAAAAAGGAGCTAAAACAGCAGTGGCTCGCAGGGGTTTCATTGCGAGGACTAGCAGTACTGTGCTTTTGTCTGGGGCACCATGTCGATGTTGCCTTTGCTCTTCATGGGTAGATGGGCTGTAGCAACCAGGGGAGCAACGTGCCTGGGCAGCTAGCCGCACGTTGTTCCACACGTAGCCTCCACATGGCCCAGAACAGAGCCCAAGCACCTGAAACCCATACACAAGGTCCAAACAATCCTGTGACATAAGAAGCAACAAACCCAAAACGTAACACCGGAGATTTAAAAAAGAGCTCCAAGAGGAGCTTCTGGTAAATCTAGCTCCGGTTGAACTGTTCTTGGGATGCAAAGCAACTCAAGATCCCCAAATGGCTGCCTCGAGCTTGTCTACGGAGCAGCCGTGCACTTTCGCTTAATATAGTACTGTGTCTACCCACATAGGGATGCATGGAAGGATAGAAGATTAGGGCTCCTGTCACGAGTGGAATTGCCGCGGCCTCTGAAGACAAGGCAAAGGCTGAGGGCGACTATGGCAGTGACTTCACTATAGGTGACTTTCTTTTGCCGCTGGTAATGGCATGTAACCGCTTTGATCACTCCTTGATCTGATTGGGACGAGCTGCGCCAGGTCGGAGCAACACTCAACCAGTCACATCCACCGCCACGCCGGTCGCAAGCCTGTCTTCGCTAACTTTACGCTTGCAAAGACTTGCAAAGACTTGCAAACCGGGCTTGAAAGACAGCAGAGTTGCGCTAGGTCGCTAGACTGCCAAGATACAGTGCAGTCAATGGATGTTCTGTGCTCCATGCTTGCGTGGCTGGACAGCCTTGGGCACAAGGTTGGCGGCCCAGGCAGCAGACTCGAGGTGGCACCTTGCCTGGTCAAGCAAGCTGAAAGAAGATCGATTTCACAGAGATTCATGGGATTCCTGGAGCCGCAGCCTGCTCGTCAATGAGACTTGGAGATCTTTCAACTACCTCAGCCACCCGATACCAATGTGCAAGCTGCTTATGCTTGCACCATCTTGCACCTGCAGCAATCGCTTCTTTAGCCTTAGGGTCGTGCCTTCGACAAGGCTACAGTGGTCACACAGGGCAGCCTCAGCAACTACAGCAACCACCATGGTTCCTCGCATCTACCGGATGATGCGAAACATCTACACCAAGGTCGGAACAAGAGCCGAAACAAGAACATGCCCATTCAAACCAAACAAAGAAAACGAAGCTGAAGAAACGACTGCGGAACACACAGTTGACGAGCGGCAGCTCTGCACCTGATGTGCTTGGAAGCAATCCACATGCCCCGACCAGCTGCCAGCCTTTGTTGCATGACCGCGGGTGCCCCTTGGTACGACGGTGGTTGGCTAAAACGGCGAAGCTTCTTGCACAATGCAAGGCAAGCATACGTTCCCAAAAGGTATGAAGCCAGTCGCTCACTGTACATCGGTTGGCAGACCAGTGGCTGGCAAACGTACCGGCTTGGGCAGACCCAAAAACGGAACCGGCTGTCCCCTTTGAATTTGTTCAGGGTTCTGCAGCTCACTGCAAAGAGCAGGATGACCTCGAAGGCAGAGTGACCTTTCGGGTGAATTCGTTTGCGCGAACCGCGTGTGTTCGCATCATTACCACCGGACTAGAAAGCTTGTTCGCATACATCTCTCTCAAGAAAGGCCCAGGCGGGGACCAAAGGTGGCCGAACATGCGCCCTGCCAGAATCAAGTCAACTGATTGCACATTCTGTTGGGTGTGGACATGTGTGCAACGGCTCCAAACTCGCGCAGGTTTCCCATCAACAGAGAAGCGACGGAGTCTCAACTCTGTGTCCTGCAGGCAATGCCGTGATAGAAATTGAGACTGGCCGCAAAAGCGAGACTGGCCATGAGAGTGCGGGCAGGCATCGTACTATACCAGCTTCACCCCAAACACTCACAGCGACAAAAGAAATCACGATACCCTGGCCCCCAGGCTGAATCTGGCTTGTGCTCTCTACTAACACACAACGCAAAAACACGCAGATCACGCGTTATGCTGTCAGGGGAGAAGTCACATCGCGCACAGCCGCGCACAAAGCAGATGACTCAAGCTTCTCCGAGTATTCCAGTTTGCATATTCGATCGCATGTGGGGTGCAGGGATGAGACACTTCCCCAGCAATGCAACTTTGACCTCACCATCCTCACCAAATTGTTCTCCCTGGCACGGGCAATTTGAAAGGATCCTGACAACGATGCTTTATTATGGGGCAAGAAATAACATGCCTCCCAGTGCAATATGGATTCTTGAACCCGTATTTTTCGTACACATAAAACAGCATGTGCCAACCCCATCCGGGCCATCATGCATGTCAAAGCTTGAGGGCTTATAGGGCTTGCAGGTTCCGATTTGTTCTTTTTTCTTTTTCGCCGGTAGATGGCACGGGCTGCTGGTCAACGCATCTGGTCTCTCAGAAATCGCCCGTTGATCCCAGCAGGGTGTATCCGTGCGGTCAGTGCGGTCCATACAGTGTCTCTCCCACGCACCCACTTTCATCCACTTTCCCCACACTACCACTCTGGGACATGCAGGTGTGCACAGACACAACGGGCAAAGAGCAACATCGATCCGCAAGCTCCGGTGGCGCGGGCGACAGTCCTCTCGGACTTTTTGCACCGCTGTCGGGTGCTCCTTGGGCAGCATTGCTTCGTTGAGCTGGCTTCCCTTTGAAGAAACTTTGGAGTCTTGGAGCTGCGTTCCCGCTGCCGGCACTTGCACGCCTTGAGGTACTTCTGCAGCTGCTCCAGCGCATCCCTGGTTGCGGCATTTGCCTAACATGCCCCAAGTCTGGAACACCAAGGTGGAATACGGTGGAGTAAGGTGGAGCATTGGCTCATGTCAAGCACCAAGTTGGCAGCCTGTGCGTGCATCTGACTTGATGACACGAGGTCATGCAAGTCTTTCGGCTGCACTTCCTGAGCACACGGGCGGCCGAAGGAAACCCAACGCATGTCTCGCTGAGATTCCGGCAGCCTCTCTCCACATCTTTGCAGTGCGCACGAGGTGTAGTGCGTGATCCTGTGCACAATCAGATCTAAGTCTTCGAAGTATGGGCTTGACAATGCTGGCAAGCCGAGTCCTTGAACAAGACTACGGCGACAATCACCACCGAGCAGGCATCTGAATGGGTGCCTTGGCACACAAATGCATGCGAAATACTGCTGGCTGGAAGTCTGTCGAAATGCAGCCGGGCTAAGCCGGGCTTAGCCCAAGACCAGAAAGCAAGAATCCCAGCCCGGATAGCCATATGGCCCAGCCAAGCATCCTCTACCAGCGCGCACACACACACACACTTGAACTTTCTGGAGCTTTGTTAAAAAGCATGTTCTCAACTTTTTCTTGCAAACTGTGTTGCAACTTTGTTGCAAACCTGCTGGAAGTCACCTGCTCCTGGCCTCTGCGAAACTGGAACAGGCGGCAGCAGATCAACTCGACGGCCGTCGCCCCCGATGATGAACTGAACTTCACCTCGTGCGCCGCCCCCTCCCCCCCCGAGCTCCCGCAACCATTATATTTACCTAACCTTGCATCTGTACCTCCCCTCAGTGAGCCTGTTTGCTCACTCTCGCCCGAAAGCATTCTCTCGGATGGATGTGCGCTTTTTGGGATGCTAACCGGGGCTGGCCAGGGCTGAACGTGGGAGCTGGAGCCCTTTCCTTCGAGGACCGGCTCGGCGGCTACACCATTACTCATCCATTACTCTGACTGTGCGCGGAGAACTGCTGGGCATTCATATTTTGCCGGGCATGTCTTCTCCTTTGGGCCTTTGTTGGCGACTTTACTTCTCTTCCCTGCGGCTGGTGGCTCGTGAGAAGTGCATCTCGTTTGCATTGAAGGCCAGGCCGTAAACTACCCGTTGCAAAGCAGATTGATGTTGTACCTGCATATTGAAACAGTAAGTACATACATTCACATTCATGCGATCCATGTCTTTTCTGCCCGCGATGCCTTCCGGTTCTGGTGCCGACGCGAAGTAACGGACGGCCATGTTGGCACCTGTCAAAGCATAGCAACCCCAAGCTTGCGCAACGGTTCTCCCTCGACAGAGAATCATTCCCAAGACTCCTGCGACCCACTAGAGCAGACGATTCCACCCGAGCTCAAAAATTCGCCCCTTGCCCACTGCTTTCACAGTAATCATGCCGATGAACCTAGTTGGACCAGTACAAGGCAGATCAACATCACCAGCCCGAAAATGAGCCAACCTGTGCATCTGCTGTCGGACGTTGGATGGGGCAAGTCTCGACAACTCTGCGTACATGTGTCGTGTGTCACTGCAGGGGCTACGGCCGACAGGCAGCTCGAAGAAGGGATCTCGCATGCCTGAGCTCGTATAAAGCCAGGCGGAGGATGACGGCAAAGGGCAGCCAACGTTCTGCCAACGCTCTGCCGACAAAGCAGAGCAGCACGAGATCGCGAGACAAGTCTGTTGTGAGGCTGGTGCTCAGCCAGGTGCGCCACTCAGGGGCCTTTGCGCAGGTATATACCGGATATATAAACCACAGCAGAGCACCAGTACGTCTAACAAGCTCACCAGGTGCTAAGGGCCGGGCTGGAAGCCATCGCCATGCCCATGACAGGATGACCTACGAAGCAGCTCTTGAACGCTGCTGCTGGAGTGTTTTCTTCGAGTGAACTGAGGAGCCAACGTTTCGGGCTGCTGGGATGAACGCGAAAGCAGCAGCGGCTAGAGTCGTCAACTCGGCCCCCAGAGCGATCGTTAATTCCGTCCACCACTTGCAAGGAGGCCATGAAGCTGGCTGGCCAAGGGTGCCGGGGCACAGACCGACCGACCGAAAGGAATTGTCCCGTGAACTGTGCCACGTGCACTTCTGAAGATCCAGAAAGCCGCCTTTGCATTGGCGCTCGGGTAGACTAACAATCAGACGACATCGGGCTACCTAAACAGACCTAAATGAGGTGCCCGCCATGATGCCGATGAGCAACAGCGAGCCAATTCCTGCACAGGCAGTGGTGGCATTGTGGAGGTCCCAGCTTTCCGAGATTTCACGAGTCCTCCCAGGCCAGCATGGAAAACAGAACTCTCAGACAATGGTCTCCATGCCAAGACCTTCTGAGGTAGATGCATCACTTGCAGTTGGACTCTCTTGTTGTTGCTGGGCTGCACGCGAGAGTCAGGCCAATCATCAGGAAAGCGAACACCGACAGGTCTAAGTGCCTTGGCAACGGCACAATCTGGCCGTCACATGGTCTGCTTCGCTGAGATGTTGAGACTGACCACCAGAAAAAGCACATTGTAAGGCAGGCGAAGTGACCAATGCCACGCGACACTAACCTGCTCGACATCTGCCGGCACCTGCGAGGGCTTCAAAAATCATCAGTCATGCTGGCACAGCATGCGAAGTGGATGTGGAAACCATGAAGTGGTATGGGCCAATTTGCGGTAAAGCGAACACTTGGAATCACAACAGCGCAGCGGGTCGCTTTGAGGTACGAGTACGTCCGGATGTGTGCAGGTTGCACTGGAGTATGAAGGTGCAGATGTAAGGCTCGATTTGTTTCGGTGTGTGATCCCAGTTTGGGGTCGTCGTGAGTCTTCGATAGTCTTCGAACCCGTTTGCAGCGCCTTGCGAATGTAGACGCAGCCACCTGCTGGAGGCAAGAAGACTGCCAACTGGTCGCCCTTGGCCAGGTGCACAAAAGAAAAACTCCAACACAGCTACACCGCGCTGCGCTGCGCTACACCTTTGCAAGGCTTTGACCCGACGATGCAATCTTGCCGGACACTTGCTGCTGCAATCCTGGACGGCGTAGGGAAGCGTCAAAGTTCAGCCTCTTGCAGACTTGGCAGACTTGACGGCAGAGCGGTGCCTTGCAGACACCCGGCATCAACTTCCGAAGCCTTCAGTTCAGAGCTTGGTGCTTGGGACTTTAAGGGGGGGGTTTCCCATGTCTTCTGCTTTGCAGCCAAGATGCCAGGACCCGGCCATGCGGCACAACATTCCAGGAGGCTGTGTCTTCACCTGCCACAGGCTCGCCGTTCTCTGCTACAGATGCTGCATCTTGCTGTCGGGGGCACGTCGAGCTGAAGTCGTGATGTCTGCCCCTTACCAGTCCACAAGAGCGGAAGCAGGAAAGACTTGAGCTTGACAGTCGCACATCATTAGGCAACTGGGCATCGGGCGGGGAACAGCCAACCAAGCAGTCCATTCCCAGACCCTGTTCCCGAATCCTCCGTCATCTTGAGCTGTATCCCCAAGTATACCTGCAATCTGAGTGTGAGGGTGTCAGACCACTGGAAAATGATACGTTCTTGTGTTCGATTCTATAAGTCAGAGAGTCGCCTGCATCACTGGCCATGCCTGAGATGAAGCAACCACTATGAAAAAAAAAGGTTGAGAGGATAAGCGCCAAACTGAGGCTCCAGCATACAAAGGCGGCTGCTCAAATGTTCGTAAGCAAAGTCGCTCCGGGCGCTCCGGAGTGACCTGCTCAAGTTGCTCCAACGTTGCGTGTGCACAAAAAACATGACCAGCTCGACGCCCACAAGCGGCACAAGCTGCATGCGACTTGCAAGGACTGGCTTCAAACCTGAAACTTTGTCGTAGGCATCTCGTTTAATGCGTCATTTGCCGTTAGAGTTACAGAGCTGCCTCTGCAGACCTTTCTGCCTTGGAGACGTTTGGACTTTGCCTCTTGCCCCTTCTTCGTCAACTTCAACTTCCAGCTTCCAGCCGCAACGTCTCAGGTGCCCCTCTGCAATCCTCCACACAATCCCTTCCAGGTCCCGGATGGCTGTTCTTTCAGGTTCCGATTTAAGGGTTCCGGCTGGATTGTAGATGACAGCGCTTAGAGATGTGATGATGTGATGTTGTTGTGTTCTGCAGAATAAACACCTGAATTCCTACTGAGAGCCGAACCCTTTAGCCCTAAACCCTCAAGACCCAAGACCCAAAACATGCTCGAGGCTTCTCGGGGCTCATGGTGGATTTGTCGCATACGTGGAATGTCAGCAGGCGCCTGCGCAGGCCAGACCCTGATCGGAAACAGGCCCAGCAATTTGGGCCGTGATCATACGAGGAGTGCCCGGGAACGACTGCATTGAAAAGTCCCAAGCCCGACGGTTTCATGGAGCAAAATCCGCCTCCAGAACTGGGACACCGAAGCGAAGGCCCGTGAAGGCTTGGACAGTTCAAATGAATTAGGTCTTCTGCTGACAGAGGATCAGGCAGTTGCGCATCTCAACATATCTCTAAAGACTCTAAAGTTGAGAAGGCCTCAGATGGGTCTTAAGTTCTGAAGTAAGTTCAAGCGGGACTGCCCTGGTGCATTCTGAAGACGAGGCAGTCGTCGGCAACTTATGCTCCGGGGCCCAGGCACTGAGCAGCTCTCTCTCGCCATCTCGGCCATGGAACTCCACGAGCTGCTCCTGGCGCTCAGGGCATCGCTCTGCAACTTCCTTCTGTCATGGCTCGGACATGTCCTAAGTTGCGCTTTCGCTGTCACATGGGTGCTTTGGCAGGGGGGGCTGCGCATATCGCCCGACGCCTGAAGACCCACATTTTGGAGACACGTGCCGGGAGGCCCCAGCTTCCGGACGCCACATGCTGACGCCAGGTCCAGCGTGTTACGGCCCGCAGATTCTCAATGCGGGGGCGTGCGCGGAGAGAGGAAGAGAGATAAAGAGAGAGAGAGAGAGAGAGAGAGAGAGAGAGATGAGAGAGATGAGAGAGAGAGAAGAGCGAAAAGAGAGAGAAGAGAGAAACGAAAAAAGAGATGCAAAAAGACCCGCAGAGGGATTGAGAGACGAGGAAGAGAGAAACTTAGAAACTGGAAAAAAAACATAAGAGATGCCACAAAAAAGGGGAAAACAGAGATGAGAGAACGAGCGGAGAGAAGAAAGAGAGAGAGAGAGAGAGAGACGAAGGGAGAGGACGAGAGAGAAGACAGAGGAGAAAAGGAGAGAGGAGGAGAGAGGGAGAGAGAGGAAGAGAGAGTAGGAGAGAGAGGGAGAGAGCGGAAGAGGGAAGGAGGACAGGAAGAGAGAGAGGAGAAAGGGGAGAGAGGAGAGGAGAGGGCAGGAGAGAGGACGGAGAGAGAGAGAGAGGAGACAGAGAGGAGAAGGGGGGGAAAAGAGTGAGATAGAGAGGCACCTGAGTACGAGTGGATACTGTGAAAGAATGAAAGCCACGAGAGGAGCGAGAGAGAGAGAGAAGAGAGGAGGAGAGAGGAGAGGAGGAGAGAGGAAGATCGAGGGAGGAGAGAGAGGAGAGAGGGAGAGAGAGAGGAGAGAGAGAGAGCGATGAGGAAGAGAGAGCAGAGATCGAGGGGAGGAATGCGAGGAAAGCGAGAACGAGGAGAGGAAGAGAGAGGGGAAGGGCGAGGACGAGAGGGGAAGAGAGGGGTGATGAGGGGAGAGACTGCTGGAGAACGAGGGCGAGAAGGGAGGGGGAAGAGAGGGGAGAGAGGGGAGAGAGGGGAGAGAGGGGAGAGAGGGGAGGGAGGAGAGGGAGGAGAGGGAGGAGAGGGAGGAGAGGGAGGAGAGGGAGGAGAGGGAGGAGAGGGAGGAGAGGGAGGAGAGGGAAGAGGGAAGAGGGAAGAGGGACGAGAGACGAGAGGAGAGAGGAGAGAGGAGAGAGGAGAGAGGAGAGAGGAGAGAGGAGAGAGGAGAGAGGAGAGAGGAGAGAGGAGAGAGACAAGAGAAAAGCACAGAGGCGGGCGAGAGAAAGCGAGAGAGAGGAGGAAAGAACCACAGGGAAAGAAAGGGAACGAGAGAAAAGGGGCTCGTGCCCGCACGCGGCTGAGGGTTAGGATTTCTCGGATCTAGGGTTCTAGGGACAAACGCAGCCGGTTCTGCGGAAAAAAAGCGTGAACCCCATTTCTCGTCAAAATGTGTCTGAGGTCTTCGGGCGTTGTGTGCAGCCCCCCCCCCCCCCCCCCCCCCCCCCCCCCCTGTACACTGAGGAGAATCACGCGCATGCTGAGGCCCCTGACAGCATGGCCCCCTGCTGCGAGGGCAGTCCTGGCCGCAAGGATGTTGGACATCACTTGCCGAGGATGCCCGACAGAGTCATTGAAAACATGCAAGGCGCACAGCAGCCAAGCAGCCTGCTTCATGGGCCCGTCTTGCACCGGCCCGATGTTTGTGGAATTTTTGCGGATATCACACTGTCAAAGTGTGCGATGTTCTTGTGGCATCCAAATTCGACGCAAGAGAACTCAACTCTCGTCTGATTCATATGATGTAATCGCAACTCTAAAGTGCCCAAGGTGAGGATGAGGAAGTCAAATTGAGCAGCTGGCTTGCTCTTGGCGCGCACAAGCTGCGCGGCGCAGGCGGTGAGGTCAGTGCTGTCTGGTCGCTGCCTGCTACCAGCAGACATGCCTACGCTAAGTGCTAAGATGTTTCTGGTCATTTTGTATCGCACACAGGCAGAGGGGTCTCTGTTCCTCTGGACGAATGTTCGCAGCGTTTTACAGCGCTGGAAATCAAAGTTCCTGCGTGCGATTATGCTTCACGGCGTTGTCCTCATTACTATTTGTTGCTGAATGTGATCCTTACTGCTACTTCAGAGAACGCATGCTTCGCACGCAGCTTCTTGCGACTTGCAAGGGGCATGGTAAAAAGCTGAACTTCGACACCAAGAATGCCAAGCGCTGCTGCGACGCTGCAGAGCGTCGCCATCTGCCAAACAACACTTTTGACTCTTTGACTCAACACTACGGACACTACATGTCCAGGCAGCACTGCCAAAACAACCATCAACATTGCATGCACAAACGTCCAGGGCATCAAGTGCCGTCCGCTTCGAGTCTGCCACCGTCGCCGGACTCGCGTACCATGGCTTTGCCAGGAATAGGAATCGCGTGGAAGGGTGAGACACTGGCCTATATATACATACACGACGTGATACAACTCGAGTCAGCCAGTCTTTGACTGATTTGCTCTAACGAAGGTTGAGCATGCAAAGCTCTGCCAGAGTGAATTCCGGAAGATCAAATCGGGATCGCTTTCATGGCGTACCTGGCAACGTCACGTAATGGGCACTATATAGGAGTGATGCCAACAAGCACACTCTTGCAAGGCGAGCTAGGGCGTAGTCCTTCCAGGAATACTGCCTCCTCTCCTAGTTCTGCCTCAGAAGCAGTATGGGCTCGACACAAGCCGCTGACTTTGATGGTCCAGGGCAAATACAGATAACCGGGATAACGGTGGGATATGTTGAGAAGCTGACGGAGCACGGCCAAGCTGCCTGGCCTGGCATCATCTCTGCTAGCAATTTACTCGAACATGCTCGAACAGTCATGCGCGCCACGGGTGATATTCAAAAGAGAATCGTGCCTTGTCCTCCAGTTGCTCCAGCTCTCTCCGAGCTTGCTCGACCTCACAGCTGCGCTGAAGGACGCAGAGTACAGCAGTTTGAGGACACCTGCAACCGGCCTGGCCGCTCAAGGTGCTGTTCAGGGCTTGCAGCTTAACCTGGCAAGTTTTGGCAAGCCGAGCAATCCTGGTATGCTCAAGGCACTGTGGCCATCCATGCTGTCCGCGACATGCTCTCAGGACCTTCGCGCCCGAAAGCTTGGCCTCCACATGTTCAGTGTGCGACATGGAGCTATATGGCGCTGGCAAGCGTGTGGTACAAGTCTTCCGATTCTGACAGCTGTTGACAACGCAGTCGCATGTATCCTGCACCTTCTAAGGCATTTGTAAGTCGGAGGCCTTCTGACCAGTCTCGCTTGCATCGAACTCCTGACATTACCACTGGCCAAAACACTTGGAAACACTTGGCCGTCACAGAACATTGCAACCGTTCGAAAGCACTTCTCGGCGCCGGGTCCTCCAACATCTCCTTGTACATCCTCGTCTGCTGACGCCTCACAGACGGAGCTGCTTTGGGATGCTAGAGGCTGCGGGCTTAGCAGCCGGAGCAATCAGAGCCATGATGATTAGTTGCTGGCCCGTTTATTGACCAAAAGGAGCCCGCAGCAACACTTCTTGGTGCATGTTGCTGCTGCAGCAAGGATACTGAGAGGCTAACGCGGCCAGGCTCTCCATCATCAAGTGTCTGATTTTTTGCCTCAAGTGAAACTCGCCCAGGTCTAGTGAAGTCATTGACTGTGTGAAAGGCGATCAAGCCCCCAGGGACGGACCCTGTCAGCACGGCATCGTCCGTTCGAGCCCACATCTTTCCATGGAACTTAGTGTCAGGTCTGGTCTGCGACTACATAGCCAGTGCAAGACCACTTGAACAGAGAACGTGAGAATACTGTGATGGCACTCCATTGGCAGGGCCTCCCGAATCTGTGGCTCTTTTCCCCGCTTGAACGACAACTTTGGATCCTGACCAAGGCATGCGCCCCAACAGCTTCAAGCCTTGTAAAGTCTTGCGAGGTTAAAACATCATGCCGCATGCCCCTAAATTCCATCACATACAGCCGAGAGTTCATTTGCAAACGTCAGAATGTCTTGGTGAACCCTTGAGCTCTTGGAATTCACCGAGGCCTCCGGCCTAGAGGTATTGGAGGGTCCCACCACGTGTGCGGATTCCGAAGGACACTCGGCAACGCAGCAATCAGGGAGCCCCCTTGGCCATGGCGACCGCTGGACAGTGCGTTGGAGGCAGAGAGCAACTGGGGTCGTTGGTAGGGGACCGACAGCACAAGTTGGACCCCACACCGCTTTGCCCCCTCCCAACAAGTATTTCCCAGTTTGGTCGAGGTTCCCAGGAGTTCCTTCAGTAGGAAGTTTTTGAGGTCTCCGCAGATCTCTCCAAATCGTCAGGTCCCTAGAGCGTCTCGGCGCGCCAGAAGCACCGTCTCATTTCCTCCATTTCGGGTGTTCCTCGGGCCGGGGCAACGGGCCGCGTAGCGAAAAAACAACGCTTCGTTACTCGATAGTACCCCACCAGAGTTACACAGCGATCGTGCAAAGAACGCCCGGCTTACAAAACTCCTGCATCGCAGATCTCTTTGGTGACTTGGCTGGGCGCGCTGCCATGTCCTCATCAAGAGCTACCAACGCTTTGTGTGCTGCACTGCAGCAACATGACACGCAGTCACGCAGTGACATCCCAGGCAGGGCACGACTTGAGGTGCAGCCACAGCCTCCTTCACAGGCACAGGCGCCGGCCTTCCCGAGTTCTGATACCCAGCATGTGAAAAAAGTATGCAGTTGTGTGCGGCCCACAGGAGGAGGCCAAGCACCTGGATGGTTCCAGGCTCCTCGCTTCTTTGGCCTCGTTCGCACTTTTTGAATTCTTGGAATGTTTGAGACGCAAAAAGCCATGCGCGTACACACAAACAACAAACCATGCAAAGCCCTCACACACCTGCGCCAAGCACTGCCAAGGACTGCGACGTGCAAACCATGCCCCAAGATCCCCAAGTGCTCGGCCACAGCCGTCTCCAGCTTCGAATTAACAGCGGAGACCTGCAGGGCTCTTGGATGCCGCTTTGAAGCAGCGACGTCAGTTGGTTGCAAATCTGTCTGCCCCGCCATTGCCAATTGGCTTGCGAGATCGGACTCCTGGCAGTGAAATCTTGGCTAACGCTGTCAGTCGTCCACTTTGGGCTCTTCCTGTCTCTCCTGCTTGTTTGTGCGTGCAGACTCCAGAAACGTTGCTTTCATCTCGCGCATCTGGCTGCCGAGCTCCTGGAAGTCAGCAACCAAAAAGCAGGTACCACGATGGTACAAGTTGTACAAGTATGGCCCACCTCGAGCTTCGTCTCCAAGTGTTTTTGGGATGCCTGGACCATGTCCTGCTGCAGCATCTCTGCTTTTAGCCACATATTAAATTATTAAGCCGTGGCCACACATATGTTTCAGCATGCCAGTATATGCCAGTGCACATGGCTGTGGAGCATCCTGCTGGCCCTGCAACAGATGCGTGTATTCCTGCTTCAGCTGCTCCACCTCGGCTCACCCAAACTTCTTGTTCAAAGCTTTTGGAGCATTTCTTGGCACAAAAACCGCTCGCGTGTGAGTGCTCTCTCTCTTTCGAGGCCCATACACGGTAGCGCTCTTCTTCCAGCGAGGCCTGACAACTGAAAACTGAGAGCCCAGTTGGATACTGTGGGACCCCACAAAAGAAAGCCATCTCTCTTTTTCTCTCTTGCCTGGCACTGGTAGATTTCGCTCACCCCAGCCCAGAGATATCTTGATGAGCCCGGTCCGACAGTGCAATTACATCCCGGCACGTTGTGAAGCTCTCCACTTGGCTCCCAAACCCAACATTACATTTTCAACTTCAGCACTGCATCGGCATGTCATGTGTCGTACAACCTAGGCCCTAAGTGGTCTGAGTACAGTATAGTGACAGTAAAGTAGTATAGCACCTTAGACTTCAGCAAGGCTCCCCAAACCCGATCTGCCTTTGCAGCGGATGCTCTGCTCTCGAGCTGCAGCTCCACCTCCGCAGACCAAGCCCTCCCCTGAGCATTCATAAGCCCTAGATCCCTGCAAATCCGATCATTCTACCCTCGACAAGCACTCACACAATTTCCGAAACCATCCCAAGATGGCTGAGAGGTACCTGGCGAGCCGACTCGATCTGCCTCCGCAGGCCCTGACGATGCAAAGGTGCCAGTACGTGCTAGTAAGTTCAGCGGAGAAGCCGCCACGAACGGCACTATGCAAAACTATTCATACCAATCCTCTCCTTAAGTGAGACCCACGTTCTATCCAAGTTCAGCCAGACAAATAAGCTGTTTACTCAATGAGCCTGCCAGAGCGAGCAGCATGCTGCGCATCTTTGAACTACAGCTAAGGTTAGAATAAAATTCTGCTTTGTCGGTGATGAGCCTGGTCTGCCATGGAGGCATCCCTGACATCTTCGTGCACCACCGTCTGAACGATTCCACGGCCTCAGAGCCAGCTCAGCAACTACACCCAGAGTCGCAGGTGGTATAGCCATGGTCGTAGGATGTAGAAGATCTAGTAGGTATAGGTCTGGCACAAGCATAGTCACCCAACAGAAGCCTCAACGACCGTAGTTATGAGATCCAAGTCGGATCCATGAGGGCTAGGCGTTCACCTTCAGCTGCATCAAGTCGGGACTTTGATTCCTGAACCTTCGCCTATTCGAATGTGCACGAGTGATTTGACGATCCAGCTTTCATTGATGTGCAACAGAAAAGTCTCTGTGGAGAGCCTCCAGCTCACTTGCCACTACATGCACCTGCCACACCGTGTCACCGTCAATTCCAAGGCAAAATAGTCAGGAGGAAAGCTCGGCCTTCTGCATTTGCTCACGCAGGCTCTTGGTCGTCTCTTCCAGGCGCTCCTATGAAGAGGACAGATAAGGCCACCCATGGCACCCCATGGTGTTCGAGTGCAAAGTTGAGTCGATGAGACACGTTGTGCATGTTGAAGATTCGCTGACTGCAGCGCCGCCACGGCTCCTGGTCTTTCAGCAACCCTTCCCGGACGAGCTTCTCTTTTCCGAGAGCCTTAGGGTTTTCTCCATCTCTGCCGGAGAAACGCAAGAAACACAGAGAAACACACAGCATCAGAGCCCAGCCTCTTGGATGGCCATGTGCAGAGCCTGGCCTGCGATGGAGCCTTTACAAAGCCCGATCTGATGGGTCGCGTACTTCGTCTTTGGGAGCTTCGGAGATTTCAGATGGGAAAAAGTGTGCCAATCTTCCTCATCCTGTAGACTCGATATATCGAACTGAAATGTACTGGAAAGAATGGCCAGGCAATTTGTCGCGGCTTCAGATGGGTCTGTCTAATTCCGTGCATGGCAACGGATTTCTGCCTTCGGCTGGAGACATCCTTGCCGAAGCGTCCTGGCCACACTACGACTTTGGATGCATTCAGAAGCCCACTTAGCCCACTTGGTCCTCCTGCTTGACGCTGACGTTCTCGGCAAAGACCCGGACCGCGGTCTGCATTGCACGAGCTCTGACCACTTCCCCGAACAACACTCACTTATGTCACTCTTTGTCTCTACATCTCGTTACTCTATTCCATTCTTTTCTTCAGAGCCTCGTGGGCGTCTCGCAGCGCTTCGTACTTGGCCTCCAAGTCTCGGGCCTTGGACAGAGAACTCTGACTCAACCTTGCCGCCTTGCAATGCACCACAGCCACAACAACTGTCCAGTATGTGTTATCAGATGCAACTACTCGATTGAAAACGATTCAAGTATTTACATTATGGTACATTCCAAGGTTGTAGTGTCCCAACATTCCAAGGTCCGTGCTCTCTGCCTTTCTTCTGACAACTGCGCCTGCATCGACGCATGGACTTCGCAGGGTGTTTCTTCGTACTGGGTGGAGGGTATGATACGAGAATCTGCGACCTCCATCTGCTCCCGAATGTTTCGTGTCTGCGACTCCACGGAATCAACCTCTTGCAAGGCAGCCTGCAGGCGGCAATCCATTGAGGAAAGCTGGCGAATCTTGCGACAAAACCCAGGGAATCATGAAGCTGCTGGTCTCAAGCTGTCCGCCAAAAATGCAGTCGGGGTCACTTGACATGGGGAAGCGTGTGTGGCAAGCCATTCCAAGCTCTGAGAAAGGCCTCGCGCACCTGCGACGCTGCGGCATACTTTGACGCAGCCTCTGCAGCCTTGGAAAGCCGCCAAGAGAGGCCGCATGCGGTTTGCATTGTCGGGGTGCAACGTTGGAGGCAGCGCGCTGCGAAGTCCACCAAGGCTGCCGCACGAGCCCGTTCCTGCGCCAGCTCTTCCTGACGAGATAGCGAGGGTTGTCTCTTTTTTGGGGGTCAGGGATTGCGGTGCGGTTGAGGATCTTGGGTTGAGAAAAGCCGGGAGTCGAACAACAACGAACACGCAAAGGGATTCCAAAAGAAAGTTGCCGTCTCCAGGGGGTCAAAGAGAAAGAGCAGGCGTTTTGGACCGAGCTTCAAACCAAAAAAGCAAAAGAAATAAGAACACATAAACCAAAAAAACCCTCTCCCTCAAACATTGAGACACCCCCTCGAAAGTTGCGGGCAGAGCGCAAGGCACAACAGCAGGCAAGGCGGCGCTACACTTTCATCGAAGGTTGCGTGTTTGAGTGCATTTTGCTCAGTGTATGGGTGCAAGGTGGGTGCGTTGCAGGTGCCTACGGTGTAGTGGAAAGTGGCGATGCACCCCATCCTGGAGGAAGAGTTCAGAGGATCTTTCGCAAGCTGTCCTTACCTGCTTCATCCTGTTCCCTTGCTTCGATGGAAGTCGCTTCATGAATGACTTCTGGGTCACGAGTAGATTCTGTCCCTTGTCCTTGTCCTTTGCACCGTCCCACCACACTCCTAAGATCCCCTGACCTTTTGAGGCTCGACACTGTAATTACGTTGCGAGACGATTAAGTACATTACGAGCCAACAACTAAGTTGCCATAAAGCTTTCTGTGACGGGGCCCCAAGACCCGTTGACACAGACTGAGGCAGAGACACAGAGATAGAGATAGGGAGATAGAGGGAGAGAGAGGTCGACAGCAAAGGGATGAAGAGCAAGCAGCGAGCTGTTCAGTTGTCGTGAAAAATGCTTCTCCAGACGCACGCAGCCCACATGCTGCCAACAGCTCGGCCTGAAGGTTCTGCATCGTTGCGCGCAGGGTGACTTCTGCCTCAATGTCAAGTGTTGCGTCTCACATGTACACAAGGAGTTGCGGACACGAGCACGAGCTGAGCGCGCGGCTGCTTGCTGGCGCCTGATCCAAAAAAGAAGGCCAAGACAACAAGATCATAGAAACTCACAGAACATTAGGCAGATTTGGACTCGACATGACACCGTCGCAGCTTTGCTAAGAACAGATGAGGCTGGAACACCAATTCATCTTGAAGCTTACGGGCCTCTGACACCTCAGGGCTGTCAGGGTCAAGAATCGCAACGCGCTACGAGATCGCCCCCTTGGGGACTGGGCATCGGCTGCTTGAGTCCTCAGGAGCGGGAAGCTTATTACAAACTCAGGATGTGCCTTGTTGTATGAACTGGCGCCACCATGGACGAGAGCGCTGACAAGGTAGATCCAAGGTCCATGCGCAGTCCGTGCAGCCATCTCCTGTTGCGCAACAGCCTTCCATCCCACCAGCATGCTCATGGTACATTGATTGATGCAGATCTGCAAACATGTAAACTGTGAACTCAACTGCGCGCGGTTCACGGCCTTCTCTTGTTGCAGCTCTGCCTTCAGTTAACCGCAAGGCCAGCAGCAATACCCCCAGTGCTCACAGATGTCTAAAGACTCCTACATTGCAACGCGAGGCCGCCTGAAGCGTTTGCACTGTCGTCTTCATCGTCAACTCGGCCTACAAACTGGCAGCCATCGGCTCATGAACAACTCAGCATTCGTGCGTCGTGCAGGGAGAGCAGCAGCATCAGGCCGACGTCCCTGCATTGAATCAATGTGCTGATCACAGCGAGGCTTGGCACCGCACCTCTTTTTGTCGCCTGGTCGCGATGATTCATTCGGTAAACATGGCACCCAGCTGAGTTGTGGCGGGGAGTTCTTGCGCCGCTGTTGCTCTCGCTGCCAGGACCCCGCCTGAGTTCATCTTGAAGCTGCTGCATGGCGGTTGCCTTCCATTGTCCGTGACGTGAACCAGAAGCCGAACACAGTGCGACAAGGCTTGGACATGTGATGCAAAGACTCCCGCCTCTGCTGCTTGCTTCCTAGGCGCACAGGGCTCAGTGTATGAAACCCAAAGCTTCCCAAGAATTAGATCTACTTCTAGGGCAGGCACGAGCTCTGGAGGGCAATCTCTTGCTGGAGAGTTGCCTTGGTGCTGACAGGCATGCCTGCGGCCCTTTGTGCCTGCGCTGTTCACGGTGTCGGGTACAAGTTCTTGGGCTCCGCGCAGACCGTTGGCGTTCGGCCTGAAGATCGGCCTCGGAGCTGGCGGAGAACTTCATTGAATTTAGTATTTACGGTCCAAGTTGTAGCTGTGCCAGAAAATTCATCTGCCGTCATCTGAACTTCGTGCTTTGCCTCCTCTGGCTTGAGGGCTGCACCAGCAGCGTCTCTTGCAGCTTCTTCACGGTTTCTTGCGATCCGTCTTTGCTTGCAGTGGCCTGTGAAGCCCAGGACTCAAGACCAGTATGCATAAGGGCAAGGCAAACCATCTACCCAACGGCACAACGTCAGCCGTCCCCTCCCTTAGCACAAAACTGGTGCAACTGCATGAGCAGCCCATGAGTGGAATGAGTGGACGTGGCCTGCTGCTTCCAGATCTCGCACTCGTCCATCGCCTCCGCCAGGACTCGTTCAGACCAAAGTCAAAGGTTTCAGGTGGGCGCGGTATTAGCCTATCATCACTGCAACCAAGGTATACAATATTATATACAATTGTGCTGCACGCTGGATTTGCCAAGCTCCAGCATCTTTGGAGTCTAAGAATCAACACCAATGCAAAACTGTACTTTAGGCCCAACAAGGCTTGCCCCTGCCACGATCCACACTCAACTTGAATGACGGTGACAAGGGATGCGCTCCCACAACACTCAAAGCCAGGAAAAACGGAGCTCCTCACGTGAGGAGTTTGCTGAGACATCTTCACTGGAAACTCACGCTCAGTGCCGCACGCTCTGCAGCCGTTGCTGCTGGGTGGCCAGCTGTGCCTCAAAGCGCACTTGCGATGCATGATGATGACTATAATTCACGTGAGAGCGCAAGGCCTCTGCGTGTGACCGCTTGAGTTCAAGTTCCTGTGTGTTCCTTCCAGTATCAGGGGAGCTGCTGAATAAGTTCCACCAGTGGGATGCTTCTTGCCGCAGTGTCCTCTGGGCTTCCTTCAGACTTTCCTTCTGTGCATCAAGCTCGGCTTGCACCTGTGCAGCGCCATGAAGAACTTCCGAACTTTTCTGCACCGTGCCCAACAGGTGTCCGGGAGTCGAGCAGTCTGCAACTTCTGCTGTTCGGCCGCAAGTTGCTCCTTGGATCAAGATGGCACTCACCCTGAACAACGAAACATGCATGACTTTGCCAAGCCAGCCTCAGCTGCGGATCGTTTTTGCTCGACTTCTTGCGCGCTCCTTTAAGCCCCCGCAGAGAGAATATCAGTCAATATCCATCGAGAACCTACCCATTATAGCCTCTTTCTCTTAGTAGCTTCCCAGTCTTCCCAAGCCCAGCTCAGCCGGAAAACAACCAATCGAAGTCGTCCCGTCCTCTCGGCTTGCTGCAGACTTTCCTTCTGCGCATCGAGTTCAGCTTGCAGCTGGCGTGTGCTTTCTTTGTGCACGTCAAGCTCTGCCTGCACCTAGGACAAGTCTCTCTCTGAGAAAGCTCACCGCACAGTGACGGGGCAGCAATAAGAGCGGGCTCGTTTCAAGAACACTCTCTGAGCAAAATACGCCAGTCAAGCGCTGCTGCTCAGCTGCAAGCATTTCCTGTGGTGCAGGAATCACACAATTTCAGCAATTAAGACGAAGTTGAAGTGTCTCAGCGGCCTCTGCCTGCGAGCGCTTCAGCTCCACCTCTTCAGCACTCCTGTCAAGACATTGCGCCACAACAGCGTTCAGGACTTATCGGCTTGTGGTGACTTGTTCACAAGGTGCAGGCCGCGTGCCGATGCGTGCCGTTGTTTGGGGTCCTCTGAGCCGCATCGAATCGCTCCTTGAGCGCTTCAAACTCTTCTTTGACCTGCAGCACGTTGCAACATCTGGACCACTTCGCTAGCCAAAATGTGCCGACACATGCTCAAAGCTCCGGCACGTGCCTTGTCGGCATCTGCCCTTGCAGATTTCAACTCCAGCGTCGTCGTTTCCTGTTAGGCGCAAGAAGACCGCAAAGTGCGGAACCGAAGGCTTTAAGACTTTAAGACTGTAAGCATACGTTGAGCAGTGGGCCAGTTCTTTCGTTGCCGCCTGGTGAGAATCGGCCGTACTGCTGCTGGATGCCTGGCCACAGTCCAACAATGCAACGTTTACACAAAGGGCATCGACAGGCCTTCTGTTGCTCCAACTCTGCCTGCTCAAGTAAAGGCAGTGAAGGTGGTACTGTACCAGCACTGTCGCCCGCATCTTAAGCTCACCGATTGCACCTGCCTGCAGATTCTGCACTGTCTCGCGCAGGGACGCTTCTGCCTGCATCTTTCAAGTGCAGTCGAAAAGGTAGCATTTCGCATTGCAGCTTGCATTGGGGCATTGAGCTGTGCTCGGCACAGGTCAGCAGACTGAGCCACGGACTTCTTTCTGCTGCCTGAAGAAGTCGGCAATGGACCAAATATGCGTTTTCAACAACAACGGGGAGGCAGGTTGTAGATCTGCCGAGAAGTATTTCATGCAACCATTGCGTTGTGGCCCCTCAACGAAAAGCTGCATACTTGTAACGGAGGCATTCAAGCCGCCCCTCTGCAGTGTCTCATCTTAGATGTAAACGCAATGGACAACCACAATTACTACATGACGGCGACAGTGTTCTCCTTGTCTCACACCTTACGTACTGCGACAGCTGCGCAGTCTTCCTTCTTGTTCGGATCTTGCACAGTTCGCAAGCTGAGGTGGTAGCTCAAGTTCTTGTCGAAGCGCCGCGGTCGCAGCAGCCTAAGCCAAGACAGAAGAACCCCTTCTGCACTAACTGTTCGACTGATTTTGGAGGTTGCCAAGCAAAGCCATATGGGCCACATCCTTTTTTTCTCCTTTCGTGGGCTGCGCGCTGCAGGCACCATGCTCCAACTCCTTGGCTATCCGACGTCTACCCCACGCACCCCAAGTGTGTGTCTCTCATAACAGAGATGTGTTGAACTCTAAGCGACTCGAGACACTGGTATGTAAGGCTCTCTCCAGGAGCTCTGGCTCGGCGGTCTTTCGCTTCCTGGCGATTTAAGAATGAGTTTTTAAGACAAGCGGAAACCATTTTGTGGGAAAAGGATTCGTATGGAGAGAGTTCTGTACATTTGCGCAGCTGCATGAAGCTCGCCTGACGCCAAGCAGGCGTTGGAGCGTCTCTTCGAGGGCTTCGAGGGATCCTTCTCCATGACTTTTCCATGATACTCAGATACTCATGACTGTGAACATCCACCGTGAGCACGTGCCAGGTGTCCTGTATCGGAGCATCCTCGGCAGTAGACAATGATGCATTGTGTAGTAAGCCAGGGTTCAAGGTGTCTCTTGTGGGTTTCCGCAGTTGGTTGCCTCTGTTCGTGTCCATCGTGGCTTGTAGTGCCAAACCATCCCTTGAACGCCTGCTTTCAAACGTTCCATGTTACAAACTCGGTCGGACGGTTTGGGTGAGGTTGGAGGGGGGGGGGGGCGATTTCCTCGGGAGACCATGCTCCGAGCTGCAGTGGGTGGGTAGGAACTGCCAGACTCTCTTCTCTCTGCAAACCAAGCTGCTTTGGATTTGCTTCGCTGCTTGCTCGCAAGCTTCAACCGTCTTTTTGGAACCGTCTTGGCGCAAGCAGTGTGCCAAGTTCCTACAGGGTGCAGGATTGAAGGCCACATGCTCAGCAGTTCACTTACTGCACACTGCACAGCGAACAGCTCGCAGTACTTAAAACGGTGCACCCAGATCGGGGGCCTGTTTGGAAGTGTCGGATGCTCGATGAACAAACATTGCCTCAGGGGTACAGTAAGATTCATAGGTGCACAACTCCACGAGCTAGCACGTGCAAACCCAAGTAGATGTCCCTGAACATCGCTACAGTATTTGTTGGCTTCTTTATCGAGCATGGAGACGAGTCTGACATCTCCTGAACGTTGTCAAACTACTTCACTCTTATCGCTTTATCGAGAAAATTGCACAATTGCACATTGGGGAGGTGCTTCTCATTAATTCTCAAGGGGCTGTTAATCATGTCTCACATGTACAGGCAGCCACATGCCATGTTTGGCAACATAGCCTACAGTGAGCTTTAGAGTGCTGAACACAACTTTGGTTGCCAAAGGGCGCGGTTCGGCCTTGCTGAGGCCTTTTGGAGCCTTTCGATTTGAAGGAGATGTGCCGCCGGCGCCGGCAGCATTTGGCAACAAAGTGCAGGAACCTCCCGCAAGCCATCTCGTGGTGTCATGTCTGCCACGCATGACTCGGATCTGCCTGGAGAAGGTACCAACTTCAAGAGGGACGGCTTGAAGGGCGTCATCGTACTCCTACCAAGAATTCTTCATTCACTACTCCACGAACCGTTGCACGCGCCACATGTGATGACCGCGCCTCTTTGAGGAAAGCGATACAAAGACAGACCCACGACACAGCATTCAGGTAGCCCGAGTAGGCATTGAGCACGTCGTTAGTTTTGGCGAATGCCTGCCAGAATCTGCCAGCCAAAGGGACCGCTTGTGAGACAGATGGTGCTCCCACACTATGCCACGTCAACGGCGCTCAGAGAGTCTGGAATCTAGCCGAGTCTAGCCAAAGAGCTTGGCCAGTCCGGTGGGGGCAGCAATAAATCAAAAACGAAAGCAAGGCCCTAGAAGGTCTGAGAGTTGAGGCTAATCGCCACCTCGCCTTCATCACCGGTTGACATGCAGGTGTGGAAGTCACGGAAGTGTAGGTGCCCATAAAACAAAGACGAATAGAGTCATAGAGTTGGAGAAGAGCGGCCAAATGCCGATAACACAAGCACCACCCATGCAAAGCCATCAATATCAGGCCAGCCCGGGGAGCGCAACGCGGATAACAAAGAATCATCTGGGCATATTCCGACGTGCCCCCCCTTGTCTTGTACCCTCGGACCGCCAGCTGCCGCTGGGTTTTTGGATCCCAGGAGCCTTGGCCAAGCAGACCATGCTACGAGCGGCAGGCACTGCCGCGTCCAAGACTGTCGCCAAGAACTTGTCCACCTCTGCAACTTCCAAGTTCTGGCTATGCTCCCCTGATGTCCCCTGACTACACACGTGCTTAAGCCCGTGAAGCGCTCTTGGCAAGCTGCCCGTGTTGTGATGTTGTGCAAACTCTGAGGCACAAATCATGAGTACTCTGAAATCTCACACACGAGCATCGAGAATGCTGCTAGATAAGGAGTGGTGGAACTGGCCGCAAGAATCTCCACCTCCAACTCTTCTGTGAGTCCCATGGTGATGTCCACTTGAAGGTGGCGGTACCACAGGCGCAGCAGCGGCAAGCTTGCCTGCAACGAACCAAAGACTCAGCCAGTAGCGCATCCATCTTGACCTGCCCCCCCCCCCCCCCCCCGTTCGTTCTCAAGTTCTCAAGGTATTCGCACACATTGCCGGGCTTCTTCCTGCTGAATAGTGCAGCCATCGCACAGTGGCAATCAGCCGATCCAGTTCAAAAGCAGCACCATGAAGCTTCGAGAGCGTGGTTAGATAGAGGACCTGTCTTTCCTGGCTGGACAGTTGTCGCTGCAGCAAGTCTTGGACAGATCGACAGGCCTTATCTCTCACTTCAAACTGCTCGAAGGACAAGCGGACATCCAGGTCTGACGTCTTGATGGCCGTGCCCTGCCAGAGACCAACAGACAACAACAACAAGCAAAAAACTTGCTAAGCTTGCAGCACCCTGCTTGCACATCATCCCAGAACCAACCCATAGAGAAGAATAGCCAACAAATGGCCAACCATAGTCCCATTTCTCCTGCACCGTGGAGCCGAAGGTCGTGAGCACGGGGTCCGGGCACCAATCGAAAGGCTTCATCTGGAACTCCGGCCCCGAGAAGGCTTCCTGGCATGCCTGTGGCGGCTTTCGGGACGAAGGCTCAGGGCTGTTGAGGGTCTTCGGCGTTTAGGCCCTTAGGCTTTGACGGCGGGGATCGAGAAGAGTCAAAACAAACGTTGGAAAGTGCATCCGCGTGCCTTCTGAAGCTCTCCAAGGCACTTTGAGCCTTGCAGCGTGTCATTGGAAGGTGAAGCACGAGGTCAACACCACACGTCAGCGTCATCTCCGGCCGTTGAGGTTGGGACACTTCTCGCCTTGCATGCAAAGGAAAGTGCGGGCATCTCATTAAAGTTTGTAATTTACACACCCCCAATTGCCCTGCGGGATCCAAGCCTTGCAGTCTGGTCACGGAAGCTTTCGTCGGCAACGATGGAGTCGCAGATGCTTGCAAGAAGCGGCGGAGCAGCAGCATCCTGATCAGATTCTCTCTCTGCATCTGCCAGTGTTTCAACTCAAAACGCTCGTTTCGCAGACGAGCCGCCGGAGACCGCCCGTCTACTACAAGTCCTTAACAGTTTGCTTGATCGTTCTGTGAGAAGTCGGACAACCAACAGCAGACTCACTCGCAGAAGTGCCTTGGGTTCGTTGAGTTTCACCATTCAACCAAGTTGCCAGACTGACTCGCTTCGTCCTCGGCCTGCGTGTGCAATGCTTTTTCAATCTTTTTCATCAGCAAAAGCGCGTCTGCCTCACAGGCATACCTCCCACCACCGCAGCATGAGCTAATGGACGACGATCAGTCGCTTGCCGAGCCTTCGCAGCGTTGCTCGCCATCGTTGAGGCATCACTTGCGCTCTTTGCCGCTGGAGGTAGGGCCGCGATGTCACCTGACGATGCATGATCTCTGATTTGGATCCCTGGACATGCCCCTTGTCAACCTGTTCTACAGGATGAAATACAGGGGCCACGCTGGGGGTCCGGAATGGGTCTTTTTCATGGGTGATGTGCTTGCCGCTCCAGGACATCTGCAGTCAGGGACTAGGGAGTTTCCGGGATGAAACCGATTTACGAGAGGTTCGGGAGTTGGGGGGGTAAAGAGCCAGTAGGGTGACATCAGGCAAGGAGGGAAAGAGAGCTTCCGAATCGCGATATTCTCTGACGGCCTTCTCAGGTTTTGCTTTCAGTCTCTTCCATGCCTATGCTTATCATTGTGCTGACCTGTTCGAACTTCCAAGCTTTTCCAAATCTTCTCTGGGGCTGGGACGCGCGTAATTCAAAGGAGTCTTCAGCCGACATTGAAGTTTGGGAAACGGACATGTGCAGAACATCAAGCCTGTTCAGACCGAGTTGTAGATTCCGGCAGCATTTTACAGTACGAGAAACACAGAGCCCGTCACTCAGATCAACACCAACGGGACACCGGCCCAGCATCCCACTCGGACACCCAGCGCAGCGGCAGCCTCCGACCCTCTCCCTGCCCCACACCCACACACACATCGATCTCTTCCCGCAGGATCGGGTATTTCAATTTCAATAGAGACAGCCTTGTCTACTTAGAACTGGCCGAATCGCACCTCTACCAGCAAACTCAAACTCTGAACACCTGAACCAACCAACAGAAACAATGTATATCGGAACCATCGAATACCTTCTTAGCCAAGGCTTCCCGACAATGTATATAGATCCTAAACCACGTACGGGCCCCGCGTTGTACATTGTTAGGACGTGCGTGTGCGCAGTGGGCGCGTGCGTTCGTGCGTTCGCGTGCGTGCGTGTGTGCGCGCGTGTGCGCGCGTGTGTGCGCGCGTGCGTGCGT